CTCCTCTGATGAAGGTTCTACTTGTCCCGAAATGTCAAAGATGTCAATTTCAATATCGTGGTGTTGAGATGTGTTGGTGGTTTGACAACACCATCCCCTGTGTTGGTTGCTACGACAGCGTTTGCATTGTTTGCAGTGGTACAAACACACGATGCCTATGATGACCCATCCAACACCCAGAACGCTTATCACCGCCGGAACCCACGCGTCGATTTCTGTAAAGATAATTTTACATTAGATGAACTATTTTATTATTTATATAAACCCGGTAAAGATATTAACTCATCGTTTTTGTGTGTTTTTTTGCAGGGGTGCGGGGCGCGTCGGTTGTCTTACCTCACATAACTGAATCAGTAGTAATAACATCATCCATTTCCATGTGAGATTTCAACTTGTGATGATGTGACCTCGATTTAGTTACACGCGCATAACACATCCGCATAGCTGCTGATTTGCTTCGGCAATATATACCCGTGGTAATGGTGATTACAATCATAAATAGACCAACAGCAAAAAGCGACCACCACCATTTTGGAGTCTGTAAGATATAATAGATATATAAATAAGTATCGCATTCAGGTTCTTGAGATCGGTTGGTATTGTTCATTACCAACTTCCTCGTATATGGATGAGGATGTGTTAAACTCGGTATCATCCCATTCCACCTCATCGAACGCGATTGGGTGATGGGACGTGGACGCACTAAACATAGGTTGTAATTCGCGCGCGGTTGGTAATAGTTGTCTCATTTGAATATATCTCATCTTACTTCTCATGTGATAAATAATACAGAAACCCAAACCCACAACAGCAGACAACGTCACGAATATAATACAGTCAATAATCAAATTATATATATTTACTTTGTTTCCGCTTCTTGACAGAGTTGTCGGTATACCTGATACATTATACGAGTGCGGTGTTTCGTCTTTGATGTGGTCGTACAGAGCTGTCGTTAGGTAGATGTTTATAGGTGTTTGGGTTAGCAGTGGTTGTTGGTGTATCCGCTGCTTTGGGTAGGTGGGTGTTCCCAGCGGTACTACCCGGTGTAGTAGTAGTAGTAGTAGTAGTAGTAGTAGTAGTAGTAGTAGTAGTAGTAGTAGTAGTAGTAGTAGTAGTAGTAGTTACATCAGGAGGAGTGGAAGACGGTGCAGGGTCGGTTGTGGCTGGAAAAATACATATAAATAACCGCGTATGACCACATACACGTGCATTGTTGTTCTATCAGTCACTGCCTCGATTAACGCATACATATATAACGCGCATTATTGGTTGCATTTACCTTTCGCGAACTCTGGGGTGGTGATAACCGTGGTCTCGTTGTTGTGGGGTGTGGTGGTGTCGGTGGTTGCCTTCCGGTCCGTGTGGTGCGACGAGGCAGACGAGGATGAGGGGTCTTGCTGGTGATGACGATGAGAGACTGTGGTAGTAGTAAACAGAAACCGATACAAAATAGTGAGAAAAGCACACACACACGCACGCGCACACACACACACACACACACACACACACACACACACACACACACACACACACACTTATGTGTGTCTATAATATATATAATATATAATACGTCAGGTGCTCCTTCCAGCGATAGTGATGATGAAGATGATTTAAACCGACCTTGGTTTGCTGTTTTCGATCGGTTGGTTGAGGATCGAAGGGTGCAATGTCGGGTCGTGGACAGTTCAACTGAGATGAAAACTGTTTATCACTGTAGTGGTAGTGACTTTGCGTGTTACGAACTCCGATATTTTGTACACCACAAACATCTCCACGAACGCTACAACAATGAAACCGTTCGCTGTTCCCAGACCGAAGAAAGGATACGTAAAGATGACTATACAACTCAACCCAATATGTGAATAAAGACCAAAACGAGACCCACCCCGCACCCCGCACCCCAACAAACCCCTCTTCCACGGAAATGGTTTTATATATAAACACACACGTACGCACGAACGCACGCACGCACGCACGCACGCACGCACGCGCGCGCGCGGGTTTGTGACTAATAGTAATACCTTAGCTAAGGGGGTATATTCTCATACACACAGTAAGCTATACAGATATTATTCATGTACAAGGGGAAGGGACAGTCACGGCGTGCATTGTAATTCGAAGACCCTATAGACAATAGTGCCCGAGCGAACATCCACCATACAACAACGACCGAACAACAAAGGTAAGAAACATATTGCATACGAATTATACAAGCGCTGAGAATATACTCCCTTACCTAACGACACGTGGAGAGTTCGAGGAGCCGCACACGCGGTGGTTGTTGATTGCTTTGTATATACAACGAGCCTTTGAAGCTGCTGACTGTGACAATATACTCAGTGCTAGTGTAACTCGCGTGCAATGTTTCTTGCTTTTTATTATTCGATCGGCGACACACTGCCTACGAGGTCTCGAATTACAATACACCACAACTGTTCCTTTTGTGGGGTGGGGGTTGTTGTTTGGGGAACCGGGGTTTGGCGTGCTTGGGTGTCTTCCACGGTTGCCTGGTTATAGGCAGGTGGTGGGGTGAAGGTCAAAAAAAGGTTGGGGTCACCGGCTCCATTTGGCGAAGTAGTAACTTTTGGCGAGGTAGTAAATCCTATGTTAAATCTCCATAGGAAAATGTCCGGCTAGCAGCACACATAACACTACTCATAGATTTTGTCCGGTGATTGTAAAAGCGCCCCACTGTCCATCACATGATTTACCTTGAAAAGTCAAACTCATTATGTTTGCGGATTAGAAAATGTCGTGACGAAAGTCTTGTCAGATCCTCTCAAAAACCAGCAAAATAGAACATAGAAAAGTCTAGAATATTCAGTTATTATATTGAACAATAACACGGTTACAATGAATGACATGACAGATTTCCAAAACAATACAATTGAGTCACAAATCTAAGATCTTAACTCAAAAGACTTGATTTAACTAAGACCTATTTAACTAATCCAAGCCTTTGTTTCATAACTCAATTGGGGTCAGTTGGGGTCAATTGCATTCGACATAAAACTATATATTTGTTTTGATTTTTGTTTTCTTTAGGGTGTGTGTTACACTCGGTAAAGCATACGACCAAACCGGAAGTTGGCCAGTGGATATTTTTACATGCTCTACGCATGCGCACATTAATGTGAAACCAACGAATATGACGACGTGCATGCGTGTGTATGTGTATGTGCGGCTGCTTGATCTAGCCCAGACTTAAGCTGGTTTTATGGTGCTATCCAACTGAGATACCATGCCGCAGTGAAGCATGAATACCCCACTCAGACACATTATACTGACTCCGAGCCGACCAGTCCTTGTTGTGCCCATTAATGCCGCGCGCAAGGCAGGGACCAACAAGTACCATATTGTAACGTCTTTTGGTATGACACGGTCGGGGACCGAACCCGCGACCTTCCGCTCTCCGAGCGGACGCTCTAACCACTACACCACGGGGCGGTGACAACTGTTGACGAGGTCAATTGAACGGTTGGTCTTGAAACACTGATGTTAACAGACAGATGAGCGTAAATCCAATGTTGTTGTAGTAGTCTCCTCATACATCTCAACAACCATCCCTTATATTACTTTTATACAGTTCTCGAGGGGCTAGCAGTAGCCACGTCTCACTACGACCATTAAGATCACAATGCGACTTTATAAAGATCACTGGAATGAATGCGGACGCCGGAAGCAACAACAACAACAAAGTGGAGGTAACTCTACCACCTTAGCTTACTCTCTTAACAGGTGAGATTACATAGCCTAAATTCAAGGTGTGAGTTCAAATCCAAACTCAGCGCTTTAAACTTTGTTTACCCATAACTACTTAGAAGTTAATTAATGTGACATTTTAACCAACAAAAAGACATCCTCTTAACAATTAATCCGCCTCTATTCTCAAGCAATCCCGTATTCGACGTGGCACACTCCTAATGAAACGTCCTATGTCAAACTTGGTTCATGCTATTCTATTCTTCCTTCAGGGCAGCGCCAGGTTCGTCGGTGGTGGTTGATGGTGACATACACACGCACGGATATCCCACACATGTCCTTTATGTATGTCGGCCAAGGGCATGGAAAACGCTGCGTCTGTACCTGTCACGGAAGTCCAAAGTAAACATTGATTTATCTGAAAATATAACTTGGGCGCATCGACATGAACTACGCCTTGCAATAATGCAACGTTCTGTTAATCGTGGGATAAGACTACGACGTCGGGCATAATCTGCCCATCAGTGTAGCTCATTGTAAATCGTCTGTCTACTCACTCAAACACCTGTAACTCAGTGAAGCTCATGCACTACTGGAAAAACTATTCAACAATTAACGTTAAATAGAACGTAAGACAACATACAGTACGTTAACATCAAGTAACTTACCTTGTGGCGACGTACAGAATGACCTATGCAACGTCAGGCCACAAGGTTGTGACAACGTAAATTGGAGTCCACAGTATGTCACGTTGTAACAACGAAAGCATGACGTTCTGACAACGTGAAATTGTTCGCTGGGCTTCTTTCCACCACCGGGGCGGTGGGGTAGCCTGTGTGGTTAAAGCGTTCGCTCGTCGCTTAGAAGGCGCGGGCTCGATTCCCCACATGGGTACAATGTGTGAAGTCCATTTCTGGTGTCCCCCGCCGTATATATATATCACGTTAGTCTTGCAGTCATTATATGATCTATGAATAGTATGTTTATCGGGCCTGTGGCCTTTAAAACTTCATGAATAAATACATATACACATCATCTACATGTAGCCACTTTTCTTACTTTCTGCCCACGCACCCATCTGTGGGATGGACACGTTGGTGTTTTTTGTCACCTTTTGTCAACGCAACCCATCCCGCTCTGTGACGTGTTCACGTTGTCTCACCAGTCTCCTTCCCCCAACGTGTGCGTGTTCCCAGTTTACTTCCCACACAACGAGGTGGCTAAACTCCACCGTCCAGTTTACTTCCGCATTGTTCACCAACTAATTACAGCGTAACGGGAAGCTGAGCCCTGTGCAGTGTGTCAGTCAGCCCAACACGCGACACGACACGAGGATACCAGCCATGAGGGTGGACTTAATCTATCTAGGTGAGCTATGTCTTTCTGCTTACAGATTCGTAACATAAACAGCACCCTGTTTATTATATAAAAACCTGAAACGACGATGAGACGTCTTTGAGTGTCAGCTAAAAGCTAGTGTGGGGAATTGAGGAGATAGTTCTGTGAACATACCACTCTTTTATTCACAAATATGCGACGTTTCGGTGTAGATGATGACTCCGTTACCATCATTTGTTTGATAACGGAGTTAAGGTCTCATTTTAAAAAATGTGAAACATTGATCCTTATTGTAATATAAGGTAGCCTCATCCTCGTATGCAAAACAATGACTCTTGTGTGGAACATTGAACTTCATTATGTGTAAAACAATGGTCCTCATACTGAACTGTTTTGTAACGGTAGACACATTTGTAATGTTAGTACGAAGTACGGGCAATTTAGTAACATTATTACTACTCCTGAAAGTACTTTTAACTAGAAAATCAAATTATGTTTACACGCAAGGGGAGACAACTGGTATGATGAACACTGTCGAGCAGGACGTTGTAGTGCACGCGGATGTTGATACGAATATTTCCTTACACTTATATCCAGAATGTCAGAGGCGAAAACATTGTAAAGCTTTATATTAATAAATAATAATCATCACCATCATCATCAATTACTTAATCATGTTGTTATCAATACAACGTTGAATAAAAGAATGTACTACGTCAGTATAGCTATGGGATGTTTGGATAGAACAAGGTGTTGAATCAATTCCTACAGTGCTTTCGGATGTATTGAACAGGAATGTATTGATATTGATGGTCATGGACAAATTATAAACATATTTCAAGCTGAAATGGTATCGTACCATCAAATTGCTTTTGTTATTAATTAATTGTATCCCTAATAAAGTCTGAAGTTTATAGGAAAGCTTTGTGTAAATTTAGATGTAGCTATCATGCATTAATGATTTTAATAGGTTGAAAGCAAAACATTACAGCCTAAGAATGGTTGTTCCCACGACAGGAAAATGAATATCATTTTATGTTTTAATGTCTATATTATGAAATTATAAGGAAAATGAATATCATTTTATGTTTTAATGTCAATTTTATGAAATTGTAAAATGTTTATCATAACCTGATATTTCTGTGAAATCATTCATCCGGTAAAATGTCAGTATTATTGAAGTCACAACATCCAGCTGTTATATACTGCCTTGTCAAATTCAGATTTCTTTGTTTGAAGAAACGTGTAAAATCATTCAAAAGCTATATCATTCAAGCATGTACTGGGATTATAACAACCGTAGGATACAGCAACACTTAGGCACAGCAGAAGCTATATCACCCTGGGGCTCAAGCTGTACTGGAATTATAACAACCGTAGGATACACCAGGTACTATATCAACACTTAGACACAGCAGAAGCTATATCTACCTGGGGTTTCAAGCATGTACTGGAATTATAACAACCGTAGGATACACCAGGTACTATATCAACACTTAGACACAGCAGAAGCTATATCACCCTGGGGTCAACCGTCAAGCTGTACTGGGGTCTCAAGCATGTACTGGGATTATAACAACCGTAGGATACACCAGGTACTATATCAACACTTAGACACAGCAGAAGCTATATCACCTGGGGTCTCAAGCATCTACTGGGGTCTCAAGCATGTACTGGGATTATAACAACCGTAGGATACACCAGGTACTATATCAACACTTAGACACAGCAGAAGCTATATCACCCTGGGGTCTCAAGCATGTACTGGGATTATAACAACCGTAGGATACACCAGGTACTATATCAACACTTAGACACAGCAGAAGCTATATCACCCTGGGGTCTCAAGCATGTACTGGGACATTTTCTACCTCAGAATCTCCGCAAATATGGGTACTAGTATACGAATACTAAATTGGTTTTTCTTTTTAATGTTGCAGTTTATCTCATGTCACTGGTGCTCGGTGTATGCGGGGATCACCGCCACGACCAGTGAGTGATGATCTGGTTGTTTCTATTATGTCATGCTTGTTAAAACACTCTGCTACAAATCAGTACATAAGTATCTATCAGTTGATGACCACCTACCACAGGATGTCTTGCATGTCAACTATTTTAAGGAATACCACGTCACATGCCAGATGAACTTCTTTCACGACAGAGAAAGGACTTTTAGACACACGTAATAACACACATATTTGCAGTCAAAGGAACGCAGACACCATTCCGCATACTGAAAAACGTCAAGGCCAGTGATTAACCAGTCCCCATTATCCGTCGAAACAGATGTATTGGAATGCACAGTTGCATATTATACGACTGGATCACTGAAACTATGTGATGAGACAACGTGTCCGCTGAAAGGGGACACCTGCCAATCACACAATTATAGTTTGCCCGACGTTCCACTGTGGTACACGAGTCATGCCATGAAGGCATGTGAACAGTTGGCCAGAAACACACGGGTCTCACTGGCAGACAGACACATCTGCAAGTACACATGCTCAACAGGCATATAACTAAACACAGAGATTAAGACACATAGAAGTTTTCGGTACGGGGACACATTCTCATGAACACATACCCGGAGCGCACGTTCACTAAGTAGACACAGGCAGGATATCACGGTTGTGTGTATTGGGGATAGTTAGTATACATTGTTATAAACAAACATCACATTTATCGAGGCACTGTCAGTCCTTCTACAATACGGCATTGTTTTGTGTACTACCGTGGGAGTATCAGCACAGTTCATTCAGTTTCCGGACAAACCCCCGGTTTCCGTAACCAGATGGCCTACTAGATATACTAAGACGATCCCGGAAATCCCTTCATCCGGAACTAAATCGTAAAGTCAGTAAACGACCAATACATAGTCAACGAAGCGACAGACAGATAAAGGTGTCTGATATAATGTTAAAAACCTGGTCCAAAAATACCGAGTGCCCAGTTTTCAGTTTTGTTCAGTATACATGCTCCATACGGAAACTGCCCCAACGATTAAGTCGGGTTCAAATTAACAGGCGAAACTAAGAATAAGTTTCACTCTCTGCTTCCAGCACATAACACTAGTTAGTGATAGTTCAATCATGTGATGTCACAGATAAGTACTACAAATATATTTGACCCGTGAAGATCCGGGTTAGAACTGGTCTTCAGTAACCCATGCTGGTCGAACGAGGCGACTAACGAGATCGGGTGGTCAGGCTCGCTGACTTGGTTGACACATGTCATCGTATTCCAATTGCATAGATTGATGCTCATGATGTTGATCACTGGATTGTCTGGTCCAGACTCGATTATTTACAGACCGCTGCCATTTAACTGGAAGTTTGCTTAGTGTGTGGCGTTAAACAACAAACAAACAAATATATTTACTACAGTTTCAACATTTAGTATTACTGAAGTAAATTAAGTCCGACAATGGAAGATACTATATGTTCCTTGGTTACACCAATCTCACAACCAGTCTTGTACATGTGTGTTTTTAACTTTGTAGGATACCCGCTGTGACCAAGGTTGTACCCAAGCACTTCCGTGTATGCCTGGAAAGAGTTTTAAGTTTCAATATTACCGACATAAGTGAATTACAAGATCAGCAGTAAGTACATATAACCGCAGCAGCACCAGCTTCCCCACAGGGGACCTCCCGGGGCACATGCTACTTAAGCTACTATAAATTCCAATATTGAATATCAAAACAGGATGACAGATGTCGTTGGTTGTGACGAACAAGATGTGGATATGTGGATTTGACATTGTTCATGGGAACAATTAACGTGCATTTGCATGTGTTTGTGACAGATAACACTGGTAAGGCAGTTGACGTTCCCCTTGTCGCTCATACATGAAACACATGCTTACGATGTGATCAGAATCTTACAATGTGAATTACGTATTCATTTGATGACAGAAAGGATTACTTGTAGTTGAAACACATTTGTAGACCAGCTTTGTATAATTAAATAATAGGAATACCCTTTTATTCACCTGTAAAAATGTAACATGTGATATCGTTACAAATATTATGCATTGGTCATCTTTTTAGTATAATCGTCTTTCCGCAGATTACAGGAACTACATAAGTGTTTTTCAAGGGTTGAAGGACCATGTAACAGTTCCCGTGAGTAGAGTGTTTACTTGGTGATATACAGACTACAATGTAGAAAATTACTGTAAAGTGTGTGTGTGTGTGTGTGTGTGTGTGTGTGTGTGTGTGTGAGTACCTTTCTTTTACTTCGAATATGTTCTCGAAATTTTCCCATCATTTCAAGTATATCTTATTAAGAGATGTTTTATTTTAGATAAGATGCGAAAAAACACGAAATTTCATTCTTGTTTAAAAATGAACATGATATAACAAGAAAATTATAGGTACATTAATAAATACTATTTGCTTTGTTCCATATATCGTTATCTGGATATATCCCTTATCTAGGGTGTGGCGACATGTGAGGCCGAGCTGCCTTTGAGGGTAATCCAATCCCATCCCAGTCGACCTATCTACGCTTCTCCCATGTATCATGATGTTTTATTTTCTAATTCAGCTTCTCCACAACCAACAACAACACCGGGTGTCAGTGAACTGCCCAGGGTAACCTTGGGCATTATACTGGTCTGCATGGCGGCTGTTATAGCTTTGTTGATTGGAGTACTTTCTACTGTATGCTTTTTCACCTGCTGCAAGAAAAAGACAAGGTAAGCCAGTCTAGTGTGTATGTTGCACAACATGTTTAATGACAATGATAATAACATTTAGTGATAATTATGCACATTAGATCTGTAACGACATCTACATAAGGTAATAAGGATTCCTTTCTCCACCTGCCAGCCCAAATTGAATGAAAAACTGCAAGCTCCTTGTCATGTTTTTGAAACCGTTATGGTGTCTATTTCCAGACAAGAACGGGTAGAAGACAACTGTCAGCTATAGTTCTGTTTGGTGACCCTACTGATTCAAGGCTGAACACGTGGATAACAGTCAAATATAGTTCTGTTTTGGTGACCCTACTGATTCAAGGCTGAACATGTGGATAACAGTCAAATATAGTTCTGTTTGGTGACCCTACTGATCAAATACTGAAGGCGTGGATAACAGTCAAATATAGTTCTGTTTGCTGAACCTACTGATTCAAGGCTGAGGACGTGGATAAGAGTCAAACACAGTTCTGTTTGCTCATCCACGGATGTTAAATGGACGTTATTTCACGAACTGTCAAATAGTAAAAATGGTAAAAAACGTGGACAGCTCTCGATTACAGTTCCGCCTGTTGACATTTGTATATGTAGACACGGTGCTGGATGGCCCTGACCTTTGGTAAACCGACATGTGTTTTGGCCTTTGGTTACACATGACATTTGCCAACCACTTAGTACAATTCAAAATCAACGTTAATCATATTGCAAATGCAGATTTTTTTTTCTGTCCTCAACTTGGGAAAAGGTATAACGTCATTTAAGATGTCAAAACATCACTGAATATTGATTGACGTCATACGAGTCCGTAAAACACTTATCACTGTCAGGCACTTAGATGGAAGAGACAAATAATACAAATTGTGCATTATATGTACTAATCTCATCAAACGGCGTGACGAGGAAACCTGTTCAGCAGAAAGTCACATTTTATCTCGTATGCAGTTTAATATATATTTGTACAATATTGAAGATCAGTAACGTAGAACAGGTGAGGCGAAATGGGGTTTAACGTCGTACTTAAGAATATTTCCCTCATAGGACGACGTGCATACTTGTGTATCTGTGACTGCTTGTGCTAGACCAGACATAAGCTGGTTTTATAGTGCTAGCTCACTGAGATTCCATGCTGCAGTTAAGCATGAACACCCCACTCAGACACATTATACTGACTCCGAGCCGACCAGTCCTTGTTGTACCCATTAATGTCGAGCGCCAGGCAGGGACCGACAAGTACCATATTTTAACGTCTTTTGGTATGACGCGGTCGGGGATCGAACCCGCGACCTTCCTCTCTCTGGGCTGACGTTCTAACCACTAACACGGAGGCGGTACGTAATGTAGAATAATTCAATTATGACTGGCCAGTAGTTTTGTGATCATTTGATTCCAATGAGCAAACTTGTACAACACGTTTCGATGAACGTAAAGTCTTCGGTAGGATGGGGATTATTCTGCAGATAAAACATATCAATCAAGACATGTTTTGTATTGAAACAAACCTTCAAAACAATACTGCTGAACTTATGCGTATCGAAAATGTCGAAGAATCTTTAAGAATTGTTTCCTCTCCAATGCCGAGTCATGGGCTCGTGTTCTGGTGAGTGAGGCAACTGATTTACAACCTATAGCACTGAATGGTTTCGCTATTCCGATTGCTGCTTCTGGGATTTGTGGGGATGTTAAGAACGTCGCCCGTCTCCGTAGTGGTTCACCTCTGATGGAATGATCACGGAGTCACAATCTCTCAGTTTGTTATCGATAAGAAGCATTTGCCAATATTGAGGTCGCAGTGTCTGTGCACAGAACGTTAAATTCCTGTCGAGGTATCATTCGCGACAGAGCTCGTTGTCTGTTTGACATGACCGAGGAGGAAATTGCTGCAGACCTTCGTTATTAGGATGTAACATCATTAAAACGTTTCACCGTCAAGAACCAGTGTATCATTGTGAAAACAGACACTTAATTCTTGACGTTTGCTCGTGCTTCTCTGCCGCAGTCAATTAAAGGATATTTTAACATCGGAGTAGACGTGTATGTCCCCAGTCCATTCCGGTGTTCCAAATGCTAAAGATATCAGTCATGTGTCAAACACTTGTCGTGACTCCGTGATATGTCATCGACATGGTGAGAACTATGACAACACAGACTATGACAGGGAGTGAACTGTCATGCACCACATGGTGCTCATCTAAATCCTTCCGTTTGCAGCAAAAGGAATAAAGATAATGAGATTAAAATTTGACGCCATATGACTAGCATGTGACTTCAAAGTATATACTATTTAGGTCATTACAATATAAAAACAGACTAGATCACCAGCACCTGAAGGTAGATCACCATATTAGGGACCATGGTGACTTACAAAACCTTGGCTACCTGCATGGGGCCTAGCTGGATTTACATCATCCCTTCAGTCGCTGGCAATATCGGGGGAACTGTAGCCAAAATTAAAATGACAAATATTCTACGTTTAAAACCAGTGGTATATTTGCAAATGAAGTCTCAACTCCAGTATATCTGACAGACTCTGCTGCAGTCACTCGCTCTGTAGCAACATGATCTGTTGCATGTCAGACAGCCTGACACATCAGCCCAAACGTCTCACCAACAACCGACAAAAAGAAAAGAAATACACTAAAGAGGACACAAATACCTGCCGTGCCACAACAAACCCACTTAGGCTTCTGGACATGGAGGGTACCTTGTCGTCACAGGACAGACGGAGTAGGTTATCCTCCTCCCTTGCAAATTAACTTCAGTGAGATACAATTACCCATGCAGGACTTTCAGCCATAAGCAGTATGTCTCTAAGAAACGTATTTAAAAACTGCAGACACTTTCAAACTGGTGCTGTTCGTCTGTCTCTGCACATTGCGCTGACACTGTATATTCTTCGACATCTTCAATCTTCGGAACTTCAAAATCTGTATGATATGCTTCCAAAGCCATGTGTCATCATAAGAGATCTGAACGGACACAACCCGCGTTGGGTAAGTGTCCACACTAACAATAAAGGTAAACTCCTTGAACACGTAGACCTCGCAAAATGAAATGTCTCGCTTGCATCCCAATTTCACTGTCGAGAGGCTCCACATTGTTTTCGGTGCCCTTGGTTTGGTACCTCCTCATCTCTTGGCTCACATGAGGAAACTGCCCGGGTTCTCCACCGGAAGCACAGCCCTTCTGACACTCTGGGTAATGCAGAAGGCTGCAGTATTGGGGAGTCTACATATTCTCCGGAAAGTTCTTGGTGGGTTCGTCTTGGCAGTGTTTCCTGGGAGAAGTCCCATTCGCTGTCTGGACTGCGTGTAGAGGGGGCAAGGACCCTGAGCTGATGATAAGACTTACCAGCCTGACTGTGCTAGGATCACCCAAACCACCTCTGCTGCATTTTCATCTAAATATGTTAACATAAGTGCATTGAAATTGCGCTAAGCTCCATTCACTAGGTGATTGCTCATAGCGCTAACAGTCAAAGCACATCACATTATTACCCCGGATAACCAAAGCTGCCTGTGAGGTGCTAGAAGGCAATAGTCACGTGACTTATCCCACCGGATACCCATTTTCTGTTGGTATATAAATCAGTGTAAACTATCTAACACTGTGGCTATTGGACATCATGACAAACCATGGCTAACTCTAATATCAGACGTGAATGCAGGACAAGGATCAAACTGAAAACAAGAGCCAAAATATCTGAAGAAAGAAGAGATTGATTTGCTTAGATATTAAAAACAGCGTAAAAATAATTACATGAAATGCTTCGCAAAAAGACTTTTCCGTGCCAACCTTGATGAAGTTAGTTTTTAACTTTCTGCTGTTAACAAGTCTTCGTACTGCTCAAAAGAAAGAATGTTGTTAATGAGACAGACAGACAGGCAGACATATTTATTTGTATATGTGGCCCTGAGGCCAATAGTACATGTGTACAATAATAACAGTGCATTTATGTTGTTAATGTGTCTCTTAGATCAAGTATGTCCATAGACATGGGAACTCGAGATCATTATGTCGGGATACAAGAAAGAGATCATTCTATTGTTCCTAATTACAGGGCCGTATCATTGGATCATCTTTGTAAATGTGTTTGAAAGGTTTGCCTTTAAACATTTGTACAGCTTTTTTTGTCAACTATCATTCTTGATGACAAGGAACACTATTGTATGGTATTTCTTTAAAGCTTCTGATAGAGCGTGGCACAGAGGACTTTAAGTTAGAAATGTATGACATAAAGGGAATCATGCTTGACTGGTTTTCTAGTTACGTTGGTAATCGCAGCCAGTCTGTGCTAGTTAATGGCAAGCCGAACATGTTGAGGCAGGCGTCCCACAGGGATCACACTTTAACCCATCCTATTCACTGTTTATGTTATTGAATAGCAAATAGATATACCAAGACTTTCTCTCAATAGGTTCCTTGTCTTAAGAGAAACATTCAATAGAAATACGATGGATGAAACCTGACATTAGTGAGTGGTGGGGCTGAGCAATGGTTGATAAAATAGAATCCTGAATAACGGAAGTTACGGTATGTAGTCTCAAAAAACATGAAAAACAAATCCAACTTTACATTTACGCTTGTAAGATAGACACTGTACATAAACATTTGGGGCTTGCATTTAATTCTTATTGGAGTTGGTATCATCATATTGATAAACTTCAAAAATATATGTTTATTGAGAACATTAGAGTTCCTTTGAATCGTCAATGCATTAAAAGGAACATACACAATGGTTAGAAGAGCATTTGACACAACAGAATAATTTTAGAGGTATATCTCATTTTACACGACAATGCTTGTCTCTCCATTAATGAGAATCAAAACGTTTTCAGATATAATATGCATAAGCAGAAACACATGTAAATATACTTCTGATTATAACGTGATGGTAAAGCAGAAACACATGTAAATATACTTCTGATTGTAAAGTGATGGTAAAGCAGAACTACATGTAAATATATTTCTGATTGTAAAGTAATGGTAAAGTTTTGTTTTTTTTTTTTACTCTTTGCCCTTTTGCTGTTGCTGACATTCTGTCTGTTTATTCTGCAAGTAACTACTGGGAAAGAGCTTTCCAAATTTGGAGAACTTTGTTTTGTTTCATGAATAAAATGTGTTTAAACCAAAACCAAAACCTAACCATCCAATAACTCCTGGGGACATGTTAGAAGGTTAGCCAGCTTTCTAAATTTAATGAGATAGAAGTGTCAAAACCCTTCCCACGTTAATAAGAAATTTCTGACAAAATTCTGAGTCGATTGTAGACTGGTGACTATACCATGAACAGATATTTGTTTCGCAGTATTACAGATGTGTGATCCAGGTCTCAACCAGACAATCCAGTGATTGTCACCATGTCATACGATGACAGGGCATGTGTTTATAAAGCACAATAAAATAGTGATGATACCAGGTGTTCACGAAAAGGTGAGCGTATCCTGCCCCTACGGTGGCACCCGTTATAAACATAAAAATCATAAAATGATGTTATAGTTAAGTCAAGTCATTGGTTCACCTGAAATAATTTGGGAACGTATGGGGAATGGCATCGGTATCAGTTTTGTCACTGATGCATCGAATTTGGAAATTCCTTCCACATGTCTACCATAACACTTCTTAAAAAGCTTTACCGACATTTTTGAATGTTGTAACCATGATCAAATAACTTCTGAGCAAAAGTGGTATGACGCTCTTTGAAATACTGATAAAAAGGGCACACTCGATTGTACCTCAAAGTTGTGAATGTAAACACAAAAGGCTGGAGCTGTTGGAATATTGCTCGACATGAAAGGGAAGTTGACTATTGGAAAGTTGAAATCACCCCTTTGTCATACAGCCTTGTGGAGAGAATTTGGCACTCTGAATCTTTATGCATAGATCTAAATATGAAACAGTCGGTCTCACGTGTCTGTTTAATTTCAAGCTCAGGTTCAACTGAGCACATGCACACAGGCTAGAGTAGATGCATACAAATCTCCTACTGGAATAAACGTAACTATAGCAAACATATGGTGCTGGGCTACAAAACACACAATAGTCACAGACTGTGTGACACTGAGGTGTTGATAAATAATGCTGAAATGATGATTACCTTGGGACGGAGTGGACTTGGGACCCGGTGAATACAGCACGTAAATATGCAAACACAGACAGACGTGTGTCATAATAGAAGACATAGCCCCTAGAGAGCCATCTTCAGAAGCGTATCCTCTGAAAGCACGCAAACGCTGATTGCACCATTGCCTACGGTACTGACTACGGTTCATTCCCGGGTTTAAAACAACAAATCAGTGGAGAATGCAAGGGTTTTCAAGTCGACTGCCTCTGGA